TTTAAAAGGACGGGAAAAGGTAAAAAATGATTTATTAGCCGACTCTATGTATATATATATATAATATATATATATATATATATATATATATACTACCATGCCACACACTCTCGCCAGCTGCCATCTATCGCCACCCAAAGTATATTTTTTTCAAATTTTCTCAATTTTTCTGTTTCTTAATAGAAGAACTGAAATATTATTTAAAGAATATTAAAGAACAGTAAAACCTCACAATAAATGGCAATTTTCTTTGAAAAATTTGGAGCAGTTTTTGTGAAAATTGCGATTAAGCGCTCCTGTAAATTTGAAGTTCCTTTTCACAGAAAATTTTTGAGATCTCGAAAAAACTTCAATGAGTTCTTTTATGGGAGATTTGTTTACTATTTTAATTTTGTCAGTCTCATGGAACAGCAATTTTGTGTTTCTTCCATGTGCTTAAAAAACGTGCGTATTGTTATCTCTCATTGTTCTCACGTCCAATCATGAATACCAATTTCAAGCACATTTACTCACAATGTGCTTACTAATGGGAGGATATGTGCATATTAACGGGTGAAACCCGAAAATTCAGAGTTAACCGTGAAAATCGGACCTACGCCACTTCTATAAGTGTATTTTACAGTATTCTTACAAGACATTATAAGAAACAATTTGGGGCCGGCCGTTTCTTAGAAAATTTTGAAAATGTCCGGGGTGCTTCATGAAAAGTACCCCCAAAATTGAAAGAAAAGTTTTTCAAAATCGCGGCGCCTCATATGAAGCCAGATCGACCGAGGAATCCGTTTAGAAAACATATCGTACGTATGGTTTAGGCGCTAGTGGTGCTCACAAACTGATGGGCGTTTTGCCGTTAATTGTTTTTTCAGTCAAGGCTCCACGAAACAGGGTTTCTGGCTACACTACGTGTTAAAGAGTTTTTTCCTTAATTTAGCAAGTGTATTTATCCACTTTTTTCGTTATCAGGTCCCGGCAATGAATTTTTGAACAGAATTCCTTTTTGCCACGCAGTACTACGTATATTACTACGTATATACGTATGTATTCAAAAAACTAAAAATGGGCGATTTTTTGTCCTAACAAAATTAATGTATATACTAAAAAAGCATTGTTCTAAAGTGAAAAAAAGACATTTCACTAAAATTCGCTCCCAACTAATTACACTTGAAATCGCGAATCAACTAGCGAAGTCATAGGTGCTGAGCGTCAGAAGGTAGGTTTTCCAGCTCAAGTGATTTTTTCTTCTCTCGTGACGTCGACGCGAGTGAAACATTCCACACTGTCCTGCCATCGATAGTATTTGGTGACGGTCAAACAAAATAGTCTTATGCAGGACGTTTCTACGTTCAGTTCTAATTGTAAACTGCGTTAAGGAGCACCTCTGCACACGGAATTACGAAAACGCGTTAAACTCCGTTTGCCGGTGAAGCACGTACACATGAGATGATTACATTAAATGATCTGCTTTTTGCTATCTCTAAGGCTTTGTGACACCATGATGCTTGTTCGCATACGGGCATTCTAAGAGTCAAGCATTCGCGTATTTCATTTCTTCATTGTCATGAGCTTGAAATATGAAATACTTTCTGTCATCCAAATAGCATCAATATGCGAATAAATTGTACCTTCCTATTCGTCCCTTGGAATTGTTACCCACTCGTTATTATGAATAAGCATGCGAAGTAACTAGTAATTAGTTCTTCTATGGGAGATTTGTTTACTATTTTAATTTTGACAGTCTCATGGAACATCAATTTTGTGTTTCTTCCATGTGCTTAAGAAACGTGCGTATTGTTATCTCTCATTTTTCTCACGTCCAATCATGAATACCAATTTCAAAATGTCAAAATACACAATGCTTCGCAGGGATTATTGAGTACGTGCTTCGAACTACCGAAAAATGAAATATCTTGCCATAATTAGACAAATAGGAAATGAGTACCTTCATCTGCTATCATTGGTTACGTTCCATGATGAAACGCCAAAGTTTTGAGAGAACGTAGGCTTCTGCGGCCGGAGTCAGTAGCTACTTGATTGTCCGGGAGACGGCGCGCCCTGGGCACAAGTGCCAACGCTTCAGGCGCCATACTGCGACCTTCCACGGGGCGAAATGCGCGGAAGTGGTCAGCGTACAAGTTTATATAGAGATTAGGTTCCCCTCCGCCTGTCAGCCGGGTGATCGGCCAATGCGGAGAGAGCATGGGCAAGATGGCAGATGTCGCGCGGTCGGACGTCATAGACTAGCGGGGACCGATACCCTGACGCGACCGGGAGTCGTGATAAAATAGATACTTTCATGCCTCGAGGAGACGTAGTCTTTGGTCGGCAATGAGAGCGTTATAAAAAAGAATAGCGTGGCTAGTTTTCCATGCGTAGAGGGCTACGGTCGATTTATTAGTAGTGTACTTGTAATGGCGAATGTGTTTCGGAGTCGTTCCTCAATGGTTCATCCTGTTTCGCTGATGTAACTGCGGCCGCAGCTGCATGGGATTTCATATTCCCCTAATGACCTAGGAGGGACGAGATCTTTAACGCATACAAGCTTTCGCTCGAATTTTGTAAGCCTTTATATCGAAGCGGCAAAAAAGCTTGCCAATTTTATCAGTAGCACCTTTATTATTGCGTAGTATGGCTATCTTGCGGTTGCCATCGTCACTAGGTACAGTGATTACAGCTGTGCTCGAAGTGGTTGATGCCTGCCGTACAGCTTGGTTGACAGCCTTAGCACTGTATCCCATTAGCTGGAAACATGCCCTTGAGGAGCTCCATTTCAGAGTCTAAATGTTCATCACACACTCCAGTTGCTCTGATGGCCAGTTTTCAAAACCCCTTGTTCAGTAGCCAGATGATGGGGAGAGAAGACATCCACATAGCGGTTGATATGAGTTGGTTTCCGGTATGACCTGGACTTCCGTTAGCATTCCGACTCACCAGCCCGTCGGGGAAATGCAATTTATTTTCGTTTTCCACCTCCGTAGTAAACTTAATTTCGGGATGCGTGGTATGGACATGCTGGAGGAAGTCAGTTAAAGCGAGAGGGCCTTGGGGGATTAAGCCTGGAACACTCAGTCATGGTGTCTGAGTATTTCAAGCAGCTGTTGGTGAAGGTTGGTTGAAGGATTTGGTTGAAAGACCTTCAAGGACAATAACTGCTGCTGATGCAAAACTAATTTTTGACAATTCTTAATTATTTGAAAATATTGAAGGACATAGTTGTCAACAAGCACCATTGGAGAACACTAGTTGATGTGTGCCATGACATAGGTTACATAACTTGTTTATTGCATCTCTCTTAGTTGAATTGGTATCACTTCCAAACTGAATTTTGTGAAGAGAAAACTAAGTTCCCAACTCTTCATGGTTCTTCCATTTCTTCTTCTTAATCCATTGCACCCATTTTCTTCATCATTCCTGATTTATCAATTCAATACAGGTGCTTGGAAATTCTCCTGATGTTCACTTTTGTTGCAGGAATGACAGGAAAACCAGACGTTAGTGAATTATGCCAGAATGACTCCAGAATCCTGTGTTCGTAAATTTTTTGTTGGGCTCTTCTCATCTTGTGAACCTTCCATGTTTCCTTCCTGGTCTGTGAGGAAATGGCAATACCCATGTTAGTTGTTCCCCTTGAGTCAGGCAGTAATATATAGAACTTGTCCTGTTAAATGTGCTAATACTTGTGATTTTTTCTGCAGACCTATCACTTGCAATAAAGGCAATTTATTAAACGAAACCCTAGTTCTTGAACAGTTCAAAACTCACTTGCATTCCCCTAAGTGCCAGTGCCTATAATAATCATCTATCACCTTGCAAATTGCTTTAAAATAGTCTACACATCTGGCACAAGAGAATGTTTCCACTTCATAGCTTCAAGATATCCTCTTCGAAAGACCGATTCAAAACAATTAATGTGAACATCAAGGGATTCTTAGCAGAATGATTAAAATAGCAACTTGCTCAATGGGGGCAATGCATTTATTACTCCCACTGAAGATTGTAGTTTAGAAGCATCTTTCAGGATATTTTCAAGTATTCAACTAGAAGTAGATTGTGATCCTTGTACATGTTTCAGAACACGTAATATTCAGAAGTGCAACATAAGGAGACCTATCCAATTTTCAAACACTTTTCAATACACAGATTTCAAAGTAATGCCACAGATTTTGGTTCAATTCTTTTATGTATTCATACGTATTGGCAGTTCTTTACTGTCATGCAAGCTCATTTAAAATCCTTACATAAAATGTTTCTGTCATGAGAGCCAGTTATATAAGCAATGCTGTTTGACATTCCATTCATTTTTGTATGAGATTTTCAAGGTGGCATGAAAGATGGGGAAAGAATTAGCTGAAAGATTCAATTGAAATTTTCACATCTTCTCAGAAAACTACCACAAATTATTATCTTGAAAACAATTTACTTGGTCGATGTTATTGGTGCTTTAGTTGTGTTAAAAAAATTCCACACAACACTTGGAACAAAGGTTCTTCCGGGATATAAGTAATTCCCATATTTTTTGAGCACAGAAAAAGATATACAAGATTTTTCTTTCACATCAGGTTTGTTTACATATCAACTTCAGATAATATGGATGACACCGCAGCAAAGTACACTGATTTCCCTGACCCTTTCAGAATAAATCCTTTCCCGGACGCAATTCAAAGATGAGCATGCTGATTTCTCTCCAATGTCTTCAACCAAATCTGCTAAATGGGTTAGACAAAATTACAGAAAATTTATAATTGAAAGGAAAATAGTTCACTTATGAGAGTATTGCAAATATTGTGGACTCTAAATAGAATAGCATCTATAAATGCAACATATCTCTGTAATCCTCTATTAAATTGCTTATTTATTTGACAAAGTTATAAACTTCACAGTTCAAAGTTATAAACAACATCCAAGTGAATTTTTAAAAAAATTATTTTTTTTTTAAATTTCATTTTAAAGAAAAGTATAAATGAACACTAGAAGGTTTCAAAAGTTTCACCATGTTAAATTACCTTGGATTTGGTTTGTTGGAATCCTCGCTGACTTTAGCCCATAAATCCAACATCATTAAAGGATCTATAATTTTCAGGTATTCTTCATAATTTGAAAAGGCAGTTAACATTGGGCATAAGGTAGATACTGGGGTGTTCTGGCAATGAGCAGGTGGAGGTTCTCCTCCATTTCGTAGTATTACTGCTTGTTCCTGATGTATACAAACACTTATTAGCACATCTATGAGAAAAAAACTAAAACTTAGTTGTGAGCAAAATAGTAGCTTCTGATCCTTTTAAATTATACACATTTGTAAAACAATAAACATTTTCTTGAAAAACTATATACTCAGTTTTGGATGAAATGAACGAACTTACCGCCATCCAACGAGGATTCCAATGCCTTAAAATTGCAGTTGTCACACGATTCAGGATTTTTGTTGATGTGTCATATAAAATGCCTGCTTGCTCAGCCATCCGCTTTCTGACAGGAATATCTTTCCCATCAATACGACGTAATACATTACCTGGCTCTATCATGAAGGTCTGAACTTCACAAAGAGATTCACCAGGAGCAAAACGAACAGTCTTTTTAGGATATGATAATGCTATGTTCCTCAGGGCAGAAGGCTTGTTCAGATGCTTTTTTGTGGCAGTCTGAAGTTCTTTTGTTCTTTTCTCTCTGTCTTCTGCTTGTGTCTCTGAACTATTAGACTGTTTCAATTTTGGTATTTTATACACATCCTTGAAGGATAATTTCTTTATTTTAATTTCAACTTCAGAAACAGGTATATCTAAATCTAATTTGTCACCATTAGATTCACTTTGTTTTGGTGCAGTTTCTTCACCAGCAGTTTGTTTCGGTGCAGCGACTTCTGATGTAATAGTATTTATCACTGAAGACTTTTTGCAGTAAGAAGAGTTCTCTCCAGGTATTGTATTGTCACACGCGGAACTTTGTCCTGAATTGTTCTTCTTTATCACTCTGACTTTTATTTTTTTAGATTTTGAAGGTTTGGCTTCAAGTGAACCTACCAAAGATTCTGTAAGTTTATCGGCTCTACTTAACGTTGTATTTTTTACTACGTTTTGATGGTGACTTTTGTTGGAAGATTTTGACGATTCTTTTGTTTCAGTATTGCTTGTAGTAGCACTTCTTTTTTGATCTGTTAATGCTTTAAGTTTTGCCTTTCTATCTTCTTTAACTTTCATTTTCAATTCTTTCTCAGAAACAGGACTGTTATCAACATTTTTATGAACGCTTGATTTTGATTTGCATTCACTAGAACTCTTTTTGCTTTGAAGTAAATCAGTATTTCTGAACTCATTAACTGGGCAATGTTTTGCTACATCTGAATTAAAACCTGAAGCTTTCTTTGGATCTCTGCTTTCTGCTGTAACTTTTGAACGAGATTTTAACTTCATTGGTAGGGCAGAACACAGTAAAGTACGCCGACTAGAATCACCTACATTGGATTTAGCATTTTCATGCAACTCTTTTGTGATGCTACCCTCTGCAGAGTTACTAGTTTTCTTACTAGGTTTCTTCCCACAAGCTGGAAGAGCACTTTCCAAAAGCTTGTCAGCATAGGCACTCAAAGGTGATAAGTCTGATTCATTTTCACTCTGAAGGTCTTCATTTGTTTTATCAGTCAGTGACATCTCACTACATTGATCTATTGTCTTATTTCTTATTCTTGTCTGTTCTTTAATACTGTTGTTTACCAATTCCTTTGATTTTAAAGATAATTCATTACTCCGATTCTTTAAGAAATCATCGAAGATGATTTTACTACATTTGTCAGAATTAAGGTCTGGATTTTGATTGACAATATCCCCTCCCACTGCAATATTTGCAGCCAGATTTGAAGTGTAATCTTCATCAGAGCTGTCACTATCAAGTATAAACAGACTGCGCCTTTTCAACTTTCCTGATGATGATGGCCTTATTTCATCCTCAATTACCGGACTAGAAGACTGTGAAAGTCGTAAAACCCAATCATTTACTAATTCCACCTCATCATCATCCTCCTCATCCTCAATTACTTGTTCATCCTCTTCAAAAACCTCTTGTTTCACACATATTTCTTCTTTACCATCTTCAGAATCTTCATCTTTTTGTATGACGCTTTTGTTGTCTTTCCCCACATCCATAAAATCATCATCATCATCAATAACAATAACATCATCACTTTGTGAATAATTAATTATTGATGTATTATGATTCTCAGTAGTGTGACAATTTTCATTGATTTGTGGAAGATCACCTTGTTTTGGAGTTGACGTATGTAATTGCAGTGATTCCTCAAACAAAGCTTCATCAAAAGAAATATCCCTTTCTTGTTTTATATCATGTCTGGTTTCTTGTAATTTTTTAAGATCTAACTTCTCAAGAATTATCACAGGATTTAAATATGCAGGCAAGGTTCGCATTTCACTTAAAATAAATGTACCTGCATTTCTCGTTCTCTTAGTGTTAACATTAGTAAAGGTACCATTTTTCGCCAATGCCCTTTTTGAATTGATACCATCCACTGGATCTTTACCGACAGATTTTCTCGCATCTGTCTTTTCTAGTTGATCTAATATAGGAACAGCAAATGTGTTAAACCACATATCTTCATTATCACTTTCAACATCTAGGTGTAATCGAGACGAGGAGTCACACCTTTCACTCGCAGAGTTAGTAGATGAACCACTATTAGATTCACTACTGCCATCTTTAACTATTGAAGATTTTCTTTTCTTTGATGCAGGTCGTGGGGATTCTGCACTATCATCCGGTAAAGATTGGACACTTTCTTCATGGGTCCTTTTAGAAGCTAATTTCTGTGAACTTTCTACCCTAGAGCTTAAAACACAAGTGTTCCCTTTTTGCACAGAACTGTTGTCTTTAAGAGTTATATTTTCACTAACATTTTCACTTAATTCTGAATTTTTGCATTTCTCTGTATTTTCTTGTTTCACATTGGCAATAATCACATTTTTTGAACTAGTCCCTATTTCAGGCACACACTTTGTTCTACTTGGAGTGTCAAAACATGAAGTTTGTTTCTCTTTATCACAATAAGTTATATTTTTACAAGAATTACTTGTCGAATGTGTGTTAATATCCTCCTCTTTTATTTTTATCTCTGGTAAATTTTTTCTCTGCAAATCAGTAAATGATATATTTACCTCACAAGACCCGCACACATTCTCTACTCTGTTATTTTCAGTGTTCACACTGCTAGAAGCAGGTTTCTCTACTTTTACCACACACTGGTTATCACAAACACTGTTTAGTCCACTTGGCTGCAAATTGCACGCCTCCACTACAGTTCGAGTTTCTACTCCCGATTCTATTTTAATATCTTTAAACCTACCCTCATTTTCTCTCAAATTTATTACATCACAAGCAACTGATCTTGGGTCATTTCTTTTACCACCATTCACACACTGCGCACTGCCTTCAACATCAGTATGCAATTTTTCTTTTTTGATGCATATTGTTTTTCTGTTTTCAACTTCCAATGAGGAGGAAGTTCCTGAATTAGTGCAAGAAGCAAGGCATGAAGAAGCTGATTTAATTGTACTGCCTGCAGTAGTTTTATTATCATCATCTTCAATCAGGTCAATGACATCTATCTCTTGCTCTATTATCAGCGGCTCATCATTTTCATCCTATTAGAAAGGAACAATAAAACACAGAACACATTTAAAATTTATATTTATGAAGTTCTAGTACATGCACAAGTGACATGCTCAAGTACCAAATGATTGCTACAGAAGAATCACAAGTGTTCTTATGTGTTAAGTGTTAAGAATCCAATATTCACATAGGTATTTGAAGAGTAGGTACAGTATAAAAAGGCATGGCAAATTTAGTGCCCTGAAATATTATATATTTCTCCCTAAATTTATAAATTTATACCTCCTCTTCTTCCACTGTAAGTATACATGGTGATTTTTCAGTTCTTGATGATTTCCTCTCTGTGGAAGGTTCATTTTTTACACTATGACAAACAATGTTATTGCTGTCTTCACAGTCTTCATTTACTAATTTAAATACAAAATGGTCAGCAGCTTTCGGATTAGAAACACCGATTCCAATAACATCACTAACTTTTAGAATACAATCTGTATTTGCTGGAATTTTTTGGTCATTAACAAATGTTCCATTTGAACTCTGAAAGAAAGAAAAAGAATTAAAAACTTACATTACTAAGTACAAAACGCAAATGAATATTCAACAATGGACAGAAATACATACGTTCAAATCCTTAATTACGAGACCATTTTCTGTTGCTCGAAAAACACAATGCAATCTGGATACCAATAAACTTAACACTGTTCCGTAATTACTTTTCCCTCTTCCAACAGTATACTGAAAGAAAAAGTGAAGTGTGACAATACGTTAAACGCTTAAATATCGTATAAAACGTCGTGAATGATAAGCCAATTTTAAGAACATACACAATTCGTGCAAGTTTTTAAAATGATCTCATATTATTGCAAAGTAACGTTTACAAGTTTATAAACAAATGATTATAACATTAACTATATTGTATTCAACAAAAAATTTCAAATGAATATTCCATATTTTACTTGCCTCTTTCTTTCCTGACAAAACAATGTCGCCAGGGTAATCTATACGTTTTAATATCCACTTTGCAGACTGCATGGTATCGAATCATTCTTCTATCGCAATTTTACCGCCCAATAATCCAGTTTTTAACTACAAACTCGGAGAACATAGCACAATTTGTCTTGCGCCAACCAGTACCACACTGTTGCATACTGTTCTCATACTTTGGGGGCCTGCTCATGAACCAATACCGATCCAGCATCAAAGTATACTGCGCACAACACGCTTCCTTTGTCATTCCAAATGGAAGGAAACTAGCGGTAGTATTGTGAACTATAGCATATTTTAATAATTTTTGCTGAAACATTACATATTATTTTAAGCAGTATTTTTATGATGATTAATTTATTATTAATATTTGATGTTTTGAGCATGGACTTTGTTCTTTGGCTTAACTAGCATCAAAACAAATTTGTGATTGTAACAACTTGAGCATTAATCTTCAGTGATAAAATTTGTTCTATTTTAAATTTGTGATGTAAATGAAAATTATTTTCCGAGAAAATATTATCTTACCTAAATAGTTGTTTCTACACTTAACACCACTTAAATAAATCATAAATCTCGAAAAATCAGAAATACGTATTTCTCATTGGTGGTTACTCAGAGCTAAGAAACGAGTCATTCCTTCGGGCTTGTATATAAGATGGAGTCTTCGAGGGAATCTGCGTGTGTAGTTTTGCTTTCAAGTGTGGTATTTACGGTATATTGCTGTGCTGATTCTGTGCCATGGGGTTGCGTGTTTTATTACTAGATATTCCTGCAGATTTCGCATTGAGTCGTCAAAGTTGTGAGTGTGAGGAAAATGGAAATATGGTAAGTATGCAGAATAGTTACTGACGAATTGAATGTGTTACAAATGGTAAAAAAGAAGTTTTTAATATTAAAACGTTATCTAAAGATCTAGAATTCCCATACGTACAATCGTGGCTGGCAAACTAGAAAACTAGGTTTGGCTGATGTTTACTTATGGAGAACCTTCGTGGGATTCGTACATTATTGAATGGAAATTTGTGTCAACGTAACAGTTGTAAGTATTCGTAGTACTAGTACTCTTTTCGTCAACTGTACGGCTATTGAGGTGCACAACAGCGTGGAATAGCAATGAACCGAGTGAATGTGGGAAGCGAAGAGTTATTTACACAGGTGTCAACAAAGAGCGGAAACTTAACAATGTGCAATGTGAATTATGCGTTGAACAGGTTCATGGTAGTCTTACGTTAATCTCGGATGCCGGAGCTGGCAGGAGCCTCGTTTATAAACGTGGGCGCTCAAGAAAATCTCGCTGACGGGAGGTTGAAATCTCCGTCCGAGGGCAAGAGTGAATGCCGAGACCACCCGTTACATTACGATTTCGCCACATTAACATTCGAAGTCTTTTGCAACATATTCGGGTATTACCCTAAAATATATTTAACGAACGTTTTACTTGGTAGCAGTGTTGCCCTATCGGCGGCATTCCCGCCGTTTTCAGCGGATTTTTCACTTGTACGGCGGAAAAAAATTAGTTTCGCGGACAGTGGAGTAAACGGCGGAAATTAATAAAGACGGTGGAAAATAAGCGGAATTTCAAATCTTCACTATTAAGGCCTGGACACATAGCGTGTTCGAGCAAAAACATTTTAAAATAATAAGACAGGCAATTCAGTCTACATAAGTGCGTCCTTTATTATTATTATTATTATTATTATTATTATTATTTTAAAATACTGGGGCTCGAATACGCCAATAACCACGGCTATAATCAAGAATAAGCAATTGTCCTTATCTATTTCATGCATTTATAAGCATTTGTCCTTTTCTATCGTTTGTTTTAATAGAATAAATTAATACAATATTTAAATGTGGAAAAATAATTTATTTTACTTTTAGCGGATTTAGGCGGGAAATTTAAAATCAGTTCAGCGGATTTTGGCGGAAACTGAAACGATCATGGCGGAATCCCTTTAAACACATCTGGTAACACTGCGTTAGTGATATGTGAGATAATTCAGTTGTTCGTACCTCATCACCTACATGCGGCTCCACACATTTGGCATTCGCCGAGCAGCGATTCGCAGCTGATGTGTTCGGCGAATGTTCGCTCCCTTTGATGTGTTCTAAAGACAGACACGCGGTGGTTTAGGCGTATACCGAATGTTCGACACTCGGCGAATCGCAAGCAACCCGTTCACACTACTCGGGATTCGGCGGACAGATGCTCGGAATTCGCCGAATGGCGAACGTGGGGAGCCCTCTTAAGAAAAAACATGGAGAATTTACGTCGAAAACGTCAACCGTAAGTACCCCGTTTTTTTATTCTACGTTTTCTTTTCTCTTGTATATTCAACTGTTTATAGACACGTTTGTAATATGCAAATTAAAGAAATCTTATAATGAATAAAATCGTTGTAGCGAAGGCGACATCGCGCACTTAAAGGATTGGCAACTGCGCACCGTATGCTCCACCCGGACTTGCAGGACCTGGGTCTATGGGCCTCCATGAATTGAACAAAACAAGATTGTTTTTTACAAAAAATTAAGAACCCTGATAACCAGGAATCGCATAAATTCTACATTAATACTGTAGGTACAAAATTTGAATGGAAATATTGACAAATTACAATCACTTCTAACGTAATGTTGCAAATATCTACATAAAATGTATGCAATTTTGTATCATAAAAATTGAGTTATACAAATGTAGATAGGTATAGTATATTTAATTTCATTTGACGTATTTATTTCGTATGAAAATTCGCATTCCATTTCAGTGGTTTATTGAAAAATATTTTATAATTATAAATTACAAGGCATTAAGTGGACAGGGAGAAGTTGTCTAATCGTCATGAGGCAAAAAAGGAAAGTTATCCGTGGCAGCTGAACTGCTGAAATATGCTGCCAGCGTGTAATACAGGATTATTCAAACTGATTATTGGAGTTTAAAAAAACCATAATACACAGATTAATTGACTTAGAGAAATTTGAACCACATTTTATTGTGTAATGGGACTCGTAAAATATTCTTTTTGCCGACATTAAAAATGCTCAATAAGGGCGCCCTTAGTCACTCGACGCACATCCAATCGATTGTCCATTTTCTCCCACAAACGCTCCAACATCTCAGCACTGATGTTTAGGAAGTTGTCTCTGATGCGCTGCTTCAATCCCTGAATATTCGTCGTGAGAAAAGATATAAAGACTCTAGTCCATATGTACAAACCGCTGCCAGGCAATCCATTGGCAGCTTGCTATTTGGGGGACCTGTTGCCTGGGTAGGGGGCTGCAAGCGGTAACAGGGTCGATGGAATTCAAAAATTACTCCCAACTCGCTCCCGGAATTACGGGGCACGTAACCTGACCTACGCAACAAAAGAATGTACGTACTGACATTCTTCTTCTGTGTCAAGTTTATGACAACCTATATTACACATGCACTTTATATTAAGTATACTTGGTACACTAAAAAAAGACTTGCGCGTTTTCTTGAGACCCGGAATATCTACCCCCACTCCTTTGCCAACATTGGTTGAATGAAGAATAAATGATAGACAGGTTCTTTGTGAACAAAATCTGAAAACGAGAAACGTTTGCTCACGTGTAATAAAACTATTTTGCATCGAAAACTAACCGCAAATATGACCACGTTATATTGACAAACATAATTTTCACTCCCCACTCCTGTCGGAATTAGCGAAACGAGGGCTCCAAAAAACGTGCGCGGATAATACCACACCATACATAAATACTAAACATGCATTATTCTTATTCAAAATCACTTTTATCGTTCACTTCTCAAATTTTAACTCTGGTAACTTAAGTCAATACACATTTATGAAGGTTGATCTGGGCTGTCCAGGTGACGCCGCGTCGAAGGCTGAGTTGCCGACGTTTCGACCATTCTGTCGTGGTCTTCCCCTGGCACACATGGAGCAGGAACTATTCAACCTTCACCTTAATTTGTCATCTAAATTAAACAACTGACTGGGATATTCTGGACACGGCCACAGCGGAGCACGCTGTTTACGTTCACGACGACGCGAAGTCACGCCAGTCAAGGAAATTCGATTCACTTAAAGTGAAACAACACCCGCAGTCAGCTCCTCAACAGGCCAACGACGTTGTGGTCAATCTCTCCGGGGAAGACTTGGACGAACACACCCTCTCGGTACTAAGCAAGGGCTTAAACTTTGCTACCGTACCCACACGGGTCCAGACATCGGACATCGCCACAGGGATCGAGTGCGCCATGAAATCCCTGACCGAAGAGGAGGCGGACCAAATCCGCAGGGGGACCGCCCACATTCTCGCACGAGCTAAGTTACCACACAGCAATCTCTCCCGGCAAGAACGCCTCGCCATACGTAACTTACGCCAGCGTGAGGCCATTGTAATTCTACCTGCTGACAAAGGCAACGCAACCGTTGTGATGAAGACTCAGTAATACCACCACAAATTGGCCGCCCTATTCGAGGATGAGGCGTACGCTCCACTCCAGGTAAACCCTATCCGGAAACTTCGAGCAGAAGTCTCGGCCCGCGTCAACAACGCCAGCGTCATCGAGTCGGAAACCAAACAACGTCTCAAGAAGGGGAACAGCGCCATGCCACGGCTTTACGGGCTCCCCAAGATCCACAAGCCTGATGTACCCCTTCCACCAATTGTGAGCGCGGTGACCTCCCCAACACATCCGCTGGCACGCCACGTGGCCAGCAAACTACGGCCTCTGACAGAGGGCATTGCGTCAGCGGTAAGGAACTCCAGCCATTTCATAGACCTGCCGCGAGGGAGGCGGCTGAAGAATTCGGACATCCTTTTCAGTTTTGCGTTACGTCACTTTTCACCATGGTCCCGGTTGACGAGGCAGTTAATATCATCCGGAGTAAATTAGAAACACGCAGACTACCTACGGAATGGACCGACCTCGCTCACTTTTGCCTTTCTTCCACCATCGTTCCGGGGTAACGTTTATGCCCAGGTAGAAGGCGCAGCCATGGGTTCTCCTTTATCACCTATAGCTGCCAAGCTCTTCATGGATTTGAAAATGAAACGCTACAAAACGCCAGGCTGAAACCCGCCATGTGGGTGAGATATGTAGACGACACGTTTGTCATATGGCCCCACGGACGGGATACACACATACAATTCCTGAACCACCTGAACAGCGCCCACCCCAAGATGAAATTCACCATGTAGGTGGAAATAGATGGCCGATTGCCTTTTCTAGACGTCTTGGTGAGCAGACGTGAAGACGGTAGCCTGGGACACGCGGTTTACAGGAAGCCTACATATACAAACAGCTACCTCCACGCCGAATCGCACCATCATCCTGCGACAAAAAACGGAGTTCTGAAAACCCTCGCTACGCGGGCACCCAGAATCTGCGACAAGGACAGTCTCCCTGCTCTCAGGAAACCTTCGCGGCCAATGGTTACCACGTACCCGTTATTCAGAGTTCCTACGTCTCACTCACCACCCGACTGCTCCCGGGGAAACCAAAACTGAAACGGAAGACAAAGCAACAGTGGCTCTCCCTTACATACGGGGCATAACAGACGGGATTGGCAAACTGCTGAAGCGCTTCCAGGTTAGAACCATTTTCAAAGCCCACCACAAGCTCGGCCAAACTTTGGTGCGGGTTAAGCACCGGCTACCACCACTCCAAACAGCGGGAGTGTACGCGGTACCTTGCAGCTGCGCTCCCAACTACATCGGCGAGACCGGCAGAACGTTGGAGGAAAGGCTGCGTGAGCACATCCGCCATTTCAAACAGGGGAATATCGATCGCTCCGCTATCGCCCAGCATGCATGGGAAACCGGGCATAATTTCGTCTTTGAAGACTCCAGGGTGCTCGCCAAAGAAGACCGATGGTGGCCCAGACATATCAAGGAAGCGATGGAGATCGCCAGACACCCTAATAATATCAACGGCGACGCAGGGTTGCGACTTCACGATGTTTGGAAGCCGTTACTTCGGGCACGCGACCTGGTGCTCACCGAACCGGACCGCCTCACGCCGTCCGACTCGAGGCCGCGCCGTGCGAGCCAATCGCGGACCGGCTCTCACCGTCCGTGCCGGGCCACTCCGACCCGCCTGACGGACCTTTCCGCGCCGTCCGATCACTTTTTTTTTCAGTTTTCCCCCCTCCAGTTTCCCTGGAG